TTTAATTGTTGTATCTTTTTCCATGACAATTAATAAAAGTCAAGGCCAGTCATTGTCTCATCTGGGATTATTTTTGAAGAAGCCAGTATTTACTCATGGACAACTGTATGTTGCTCTTTCACGCATGACGAGTAGAAAAGGGTTGAAGATTTTAGTTTATGATGATGATGGCCAAATAACAAATGAAGCTAGAAATGTGGTGTATAAATAAGTTTTCCGTTATTTGGTTTGAGATGAATCTAGACATGATGGAATTATCAGGTATTTACTATTTTCTTTTCCAATAAATATATGTCACTGTTGTTTTGGCGGGGGGAGATGAAACTAGGTTCAGCAACACAATAGAGGATATCAAGATATCTTCATAACTGCAATTTTTGAGTTATTACATTTTCTTCTGTTAGGGGATTGAGAAGTACTAGCTCTATGTATAGAAAGTTAATTCAATAGTTTCTCTGGGGAGAACTACCGTGAAGCTCCAATGTGTGTTAACTTCTGTTAGCGCTAAGTATAAGCAAAATACTTAATCATGTAAATCTCTTAAAGCTATGTTGCACTCTCAATTATTTTTACTGTTCATGTTATTTTACATTGCTAGAAAGACTTCTTTTACTTTTCCCATTATATAAATATGCCCCAAATATTTTCTTTACCATCTGCTTAGTGGAACATTATGTCGGGATTATCTGTTGTTTGTTGTTACTATTATAGGTTTTGAATGAACAATAGTTGTATTGATATACTTTTTTAATTCTTTTACTGGATATGATTGATAATTTAGTTGTTGTGTGTAGGTTATGGTTGAAGGCTTGTCAGATGTAGATCTCACTTATCAGAATTAACCAGCTGCTCAAGCTTCTTGTGCTAATGCTGCAGGAACAACTTCTAGTGTAATTCAACCAACAAGTTGTTTATAAAGGAAAATCCAAGAAAAGGGGTTCTTTCCATTTTTATTTTCTTTTTTTAAAGTATATTTAGTTCTTAATTAAGACAAGAGAGCCATTGGTTTAATTTTATTGCTCAGACTAAGTGCTTGCTTGAGCCTGTGGTGTGACTGGAATCGCCTGGCCTAGCAATGCTAATTAAAGACAGAAATTGTTATCCCCATTATTCAATGTAATAGAATATCTTTCTCGTTTGCTCCATTAGAACTGTCAATTATATGTTTTTATTGTCACATTTAGCAAACTTAAACGTTCAATATTCATGTTTGAACTTTCTATAGGTTCCCATTAATCTTATTACTTCAGTAAAAGCGACAAGGTTTATTTTCATGAAATACCCGATGAGGTCATTCATAGCTTGATAATTATGTCAGTGTCTTTAAATGAGAAAGAATTGTTCTTTACCAGCAACACTAACTATTAGTCCAATTGTGAAGATTTAAAAGGGGATTACACTTAAAGTTGCTGGAGGGTAATGCTTCAAAAGTACCATCCGCGCATCGCGCGGGTTTTAATACTAGTATCATTATTATGGCATGAATGGTCATTGGTCACGTACCTATTGTACGCCAAAATATTTTGGCATTGTGATTGTTAAAAGGCAACGGTAATGCAAGAAACAGATCTTGCATATAATTTTGACCATAACCATAATGGTATAACTTTTCTCTTTAAAAGAGATATTCACCATATGGGTGTTGATGAATATGTGGTACTACAAAATTAATTGAGAACTCTGCAAGAGCCAATTATACTATTTTGGAGAAACACAATTGATTACCAATAAGGTATTTTGTTGTAGTAAGTCTCAAAGAAACTTATTTAGTTTCCAAAGTATACGCGAAAGCGGTTGATTATATTGAGACTATAAATAAAGGAAAGATCTAATATCTTCTATTAGTACAACTTGTAGCGGGATAATATGTATGTGAAAAGCTACCCGCTTTATTCTCCAATTTGTACTACATAAACAAAAGAATACCACAATGAAGTGGATATTTATTGATATAAAAACCCATATCATAATAAACTTGGAGTTTATTCATAATTGCACACATCATGGTGTAAACCTGAAGTTTATCAATATTGATAATTTATCCAGTTGGCATAATTGGTTTAGCCATGTTAATTCAAGTATGATGTGCAAAAATAAAAGAGAATTCACATGGGTAAATATTAAAGAACTAGAAAGGTCTTTACGAATTCTCTTACATTGCTTGTTCTCATTAATTAATAGACCAATTAAAATTGGAATTGAATCCCATGAATGCTGGAAATATCAAAGGTGAATATGGGCCCATTCACCTGCCATGTATACCACATAAGATGCATCTATGAGATGGGTTACATGTGCAATTATTATTGACCGGCAACCTGGTGTTTGCGAGGTAACTTGCTCAATAATTTAATATAGAGCATAATTTTCAGACTTTTTTTCAAGATAGTTCTTCTTGATAAGTTGGTTTACATCACAGTTGGTTTAGCAAAATGATTTATTGAGTGCCTCCACTTAATAGCTAAACTATTGCTTATGAGAACAAAGTTATCTATATCAATTTGATATACGTTATATACGAAAGTATATTATTTTCTCCCCTCAGAAGTGGTTCAGGGTCAGGAACCAAATAATTCCATCTTATTATCATTGATGTGCAGGGCATATTTTGATTAATACCATAACGCAAAAAAATGAGTTCTTAATGTTGAGGAAACAAGTTAGTTTTTCTAACATGAGGGGGAGACATGATAAACAGTTGAGAAAAAGTTACGTGGAATGAATTATCATTTGTACATCTAGATCCTCGAATAAGATAATATGAACTTGAAGTTCATAAAAGGATAATTCATTTGCAATATATTGCAAAGCATGCCAGACGCATTTGCTGGCCCAAAGAAAGTAACTATATTCTCATTGCAAATGCTCCTATTAGAATAAGTCCTAAAAGGACAAAGTCTATGGTACGCTTAAAGCGTATAGACAAATCGGTTTCAAATAAACTTCTTGATAAAGAAGATGAGCAAATGATCAAAATGATCATAATAAAGGAGGCAAGTGATCTAGAAGATCACATGACATAACACTTCATAAAATCTCATGAGAGATTCAGGTACCTGAATATATGAATGAAGAGATCTCTATGTTATGTCTTTATGAAAAATAAGCAGGTTGGAACCGATATAAAATGTTTGTCGACGACATCTATAATACCGCTAAATATATATGAGGATCTTAAGTTTGGAGAAACAATTCAAGTAGAATTTGGTTTCATATGAAAGACAAGTAGTTTTGGACCTGCAGTTCAAACACTTGAAAGTATAAAGTCAATGGTATGTGCAATCAGTTTTCGATATCCTATATGTCTAGCATGACATGAATACTTGATATGCATCTAAAGTCTATTATATGGCTTGTATAACTTAACAATCCCTGAAGGATTTAAATTGCTTAAAGCATATATAATTCATGGTCATGAAGTACTACATCCTCAATGCAATTTGTGCACAAATGTATCTTGCTATAACTATATGCATGATAATATGATAGCAAGAGTTTTCACCTCTATGTGAAGATATTGAACTGACGATTCCAACAAGATCATATGAAGACAATCCATCTCTATCAAGAATGATGATTTCAAGGTACAATATATTCATTCAAGTTAGTATGGCTGATTTGTTTATCAAATATCTACCAAAGATCTTTTGAAGATGGTGCACAAGATTGGAATGCAAATGCTTAAGGATGTGAAGTGATGCTCTCATGAGGGGGAGTTAATACGCGTTGTACTCTTTTTCCCTTACAAGGTTTTGTCCCACTGAGTTTTCCTTGCAAGGTTTTCAACGAGGCAACCAAAAGGCGTATTGTTAGATATGTGTACTCTTTTTCCTTCTCTAGAATTTTTTTCCCACTGGGTTTTATTTAGTTAAGGTTTTAACGAGGCACATTATCTGTTGAATAGACATTTAAGGAGGAGTGTTATAAATATAATTTTATTTATGGTGAATGTCTATATTTAGAGAGATCCTAGGGTTCATTGTTTGGTGGCTAAGTCACCATTTCCCTATAAATAGAGGGTTCTATTCCATTATAATTCATACCAAATTCAATAAGAATTCACTCTCCCTCTTTCTCTGCAATATTGTTCTTGTTCTTTTATTATTTTCATAACAAGATGGTTATATTAACTATCTCATATTAGATGTTGAATAGCAATCTCAGAATTATAATCCTAAAATTTTAATTATAATTTTAAGATTGTTAATCTCTAAATATCCCGCTTTGCAATCAAATGACACCATACTACATATTTTGTTCCCGTATTCTAGTCTCGGTAACACTTGTTTGCGAAGCAAACCGCGAGAATCGTAAATTACCAAAAAGCCAGCTATGAGGATCTAGACAATTAAAATATGAAGATATTACAATAAATGAAATTGAAAGTTCCCCAAAATTACTCCCCTCTTCCCTCTCTTACTTTATTTATGACTGAAAATGGTAACATGCAGTTTTATTCTCCCACCCATACAATTACTCCTACCTAAAATGAAAAGCCCTTCAGTTTTTGGAACCAAATCAAAAGAGAGAGAAGGGCGAATAATTAATTAGATCAAATCAGATACACTTTGCCGTATCATTCTTGTCTTTTCAAATATCACACAAAAGAAAATTCTTGTCACTATTTTAAAATCCAAATTGTCTTTTTTTTTTCTCTCTTCTTCTTCTTCTCCAATTTCACGTTCGTATTTTTTTTTTCGCCATACAAACCCAAACCCTAAAATCCATTATATTTCTCTTTCTTGTTCTATAGAAAGAGCTAAAAGGAGAAGAATGTCAGGGACATGGAGCAAACTGCAGAAAACGCTGTCGTTTAGGCAACAGCCTAAGTCTCCTACCGATAATGGTGCATCCTCCGGTTCCAATTCCAAATCGCCACCACCTCCTCGGCCGCCCTCCGCCCCTTCTTCCTCCTCTTTCTCCCGTTTCTCCCGAAGCTTCAGCTCCACCTCCCGATCCTCTAAGGTCCGTTTTTCTCTTTTCTTTTATATAAAATTTTGTCCTCTTTTTCTTGTTCTTTTTCTTTTTCTTTGAGTATTTCGGTTGTTTCTTCCTTGTGTTTCGCCGGTAGTATTTGATTTGTTATCCATTTTGATTCGCCGGAATGTCGGTTTTTGCTTCACCGGTGATGACAGCTGGTATTTTACCATCGCGAAAAAGGAGCAGAATTTTGTGCTTTTCCTAAACTGGAATGAAAGGAGAACTTTTTTGGACAAAAATACCTTCATTATTTTGCGAAATTTACTGGATTCTTCCGTTTTCGGGGATCTGAGCCGGGTTACTATTGGGAATTCCTTTTTAATTTTATCACGTTTGTTTGGGTTTATTCGAATCAGTGAATAAACTAAAAGGAAATCCAGCTTTACAAGGCTTTAGATGACGAATGCATGGATGATTACTATCATACCCTCCGCTCTGCTGTTTTTATAGAGGTCAAAAAGGTCATTTCTTGTCTAAATAGGAGTAGTTGAAAGCTAAAAGTTGACCTTTCTTGGCTTTCCGTGCCAGGCTTTTTCTGAGTTTGACTTTGTGAAAATATCTTTTCTACTGTTAAAATTGATGCTAGTGTACAACCACTATTAATTAAGGTACAACCCATTACGTTTTTTACCTAATGGTATTATCCTACGCATTTAAACAAACAAAACTATTTAACACCGACTCATTTCATTTTTCTTTAACATAAGAGATGGATTATTTATTGGGTAGCTGAGAATTTTGATGATTTCAGCTTTGGACAAATAAGGGATCTTTTATTGTTGGCTGAGATCTTTTTGACAACTTCTTACGCCAGCTATGTGTGTGTGCCCATGTATAGTAAAAGAAGTTGGATTGAATGAAGTTGGACCAGTTCTAAAAATATAGGATTATAATTGGCAATAGCTTAGACGTAGCAACTATTGACTTTGCAACCTAGAAAATGACGGACTTTTTTCTATGCCACTACGTGTTTGCTTCACATGGAGTATATTAGTTGTGGGCAAGATGCAGTTTGTTTTTCATATTGAAATGTTAGTTTGCTAGTTTGATAAGAATTTATTAGTAGTAGCAAAAGTTAAAGAATGATATTTGGACCTGTTCTTGTATATTTATTATAGCCTTGTGGTTTTATATTCGACAAATGTCCCTTGGACTTGTACGTTTGTTTTTGTAATTTTGAGCCGGCTATTGCTAGTTTAGTTGTATTTGGACTAGTATAAGCGTGTTTATTAGGATCTGTTCTTAGGAAGGAAAAAGGGCCGCCCAGTGCACTAAGCTCCCGCTTTGCTTAGGAACGAACTGGAATAGTTTTTCGTGTACTCCATAAGGACTTGGGCGGTCTACATTTTTAATGCACGACATAGTACAAGTTTATTTATTGTTCTTTGCTCAAAAACCTAACCCTATATAATATTATTTGCACATTGTTATTATGAAAAGCTGACTCTAAGCAAATTTAAGATAAAGACAGAGATTGATTTATACCTGATTGCCATGAAGAGTTGAACACTGATTCCTAGCAAGTCATAAGTTGATTTTTCACACCGACAATTTGATTGTTCTTCCCAAGAGGTATGAATTCCATGCAGCTAACTTATGTCTTACTCTGGCAAAAGGTGTAAGATTAATATTTCATTAGTTTTGTCAGTACTTGGTTCAGGTAACTAGATGTCCTCGTGTATATTTTATTGGAGTATATTTTATCGAAAAGTCCTTGCTGCTTAAACAATTGACTTCATTTTGATCAATATTTCATATAGTTAATACTTATATACCTAGTGATTCCAAAAGCTTATTTCATCAATGATTTAAGTTATTGAATGAGTCGGTAACTGTATCCGAGTGACTTATCTTTTCCCGGAAAAAGCCCAAAGGTTCAAGAACCTTTTTATTATTGAAAATACTTACCGTGAATGTACAGTCGAAGCAGTTTTATTGTTTTAACCATGAATGTCACACTGGTGGCAAAGGTTGCAAGTAAGGGCTTATGTCATGAAAGTCTTTGCATGATTGCTTGGTAACTTCTTTTTTCTTTTTCTTTTTTATAATGATAAGAGTCCGAGTTAACTTGCGTGAACTCAATTATTCCACCAAATAGCTACTAAGCTACTAGTGCCGGCACACGTAACTCTACCAACTAAGGCTTAGGCAGACAAGAAGAATCATCTATTATTTATTGCCTTCGTTAGGATTTGAACCTTGATTTTCAATGTTTACGCCACTTCATTGACCACTAGACCACACCCTCGGGTGCGATTGCTTGGTGACTTCATCAGTTTGTTTGGTCAGAAAATTGGTATTGCTTCTCTTTTACTTAGCTTTTCTTTGCCCTTGTCCCATGTATACCTTATGATAGATTAAAATTTCTGTGCTTTGGTGAACCTGCTGTTCAACAGAGTCCACTACAATTTTTTTGAGTGGATATATAAACTATAGCTTCATCAATGTTTCTTAATGAGGAATTGACTAGGGACATGTGGTTACATACGGATATATTTATTGGCTGATTACAGTATTCTCACTATACTTGCCACTTTGTCTATTTTATTGTGATTGCAGCGAACATGTGCCATTTGCCTTGGGAGTATGAAACCTGGGAATGGTCAGGCGATATTCACTGCTGAATGCTCCCACTCCTTCCACTTCAGCTGCATTGCCAACAGTGTTAAGCATGGAAACTACCTCTGCCCTATCTGCAGATGCAAATGGAAAGAGATTCCTCTCATGTCGTCCTTCAGTACTGATGCAACCATTAACAGCGCAGGACGGACTCGTGTCTCTCCACTAGAAGATCATTACCCTGACAATATTTCTCGTGTTCCACCACCGGTATCTCTGCCCCTTCCTGAGCCCCTTCACTTCTCTGATGATGAACCTCTTCCCAGCATTACCGTGGATCAGACCTCCTCCCCTTCCACTGTTCATTCAGAGAGTGTAGTCTTGAGAGCTTTTCCAGAATATTCTGCTGTTGCGGCTTCTGAAGCTGTGTCAAGATTTGCTGTTCTTGTTGGAGTAAGGGCACCCCCACTTGCTGATGATGCTCGGCACCGAGAGCGTGCGCCTATTGACCTAGTCACAGTTCTAGATGTTAGTGGCAGCATGGCTGGATCAAAATTGTCACTCCTGAAGCAAGCAGTTTGTTTTGTCATAGATAACTTGGGGCCTTCTGACCGTCTAGCTGTTGTTACCTTTTCATCCGGAGCTCAAAGAAACTTTCCCTTGCGAAGGATGACAGAGCAAGGGCGTCGTGAGGCTGCACAGGCTGTCAATGCCATTTCAGCAAATGGTGGGACAAATATCGTGGAAGGGCTCAAAAAGGGGGTCCGAGTTCTTGAAGAAAGGCGTGAAAGGAATCCAGTTGCTAGCATTGTTCTCTTGTCAGATGGGAGAGACACCTATAACGGGGATAATGCCAACCAACGTCATAGTCCTAGGAACCGCAGATCCTCAAATGCAACATCAGGTCCAGAATATCTGAATCTATTGCCTTCTTCCATTTGTCCTCGCAATAGAGAAGCACTAGTAGCAGACCAGCTTCCAACTTTTCATGTGCATACATTTGGGTTTGGTTTAGACCATGATTCCTCTGCTATGCATGCTATCTCAGATGCATCAGGTGGTACATTTTCATTCATTGAGACTGTTGGTACTGTCCAAGATGCCTTTGCAATGTGTATTGGTGGTCTCCTCAGTGTTGTAGCCCAGGAGCTAAAACTTAATGTTAGGTCAGCATCTCGAGGAGTGGATATTGGATCCATCCCTTCAGGAAGATATACAAGTGAAATTTCTGAACAGGGAAAGCAAGGTGTAATAAACATTGGGAACCTGTATGCAGATGAGGAAAAAGAATTCCTTGTCTACTTGTCTGTTCCCTTGGCTGAAATTGAAGGAAGCGCAACAAAGACATCTCTGTTGCAAATTACATGTGGTTACAAAAATGCCACATCCGAAGAGATGGTCAGTGTGGAGGGTGAGACAGTTGAGATACGTAGGCCACCAGTACTGTCTCCTACAGATGTGCTAGTAAGTCGTGAGGTTGATAGACAGATAAACAGGCTGGCGGTAGCAGAAACCATTGCAGAGGCACAACAGATGGCAGAAATGGGAAATCTTGAGGGTGCTCAAGCTGTTCTAGCTAATAGAAGATCCTCTCTTCTATCTTCTGTATCTGCGCAAGCAGGTGATGCTCTTTGTAACTGGCTTGACACTGAACTGACCGAAATCAGAGAGAGGATGGCGAGCAGGGAACGCTATGAACAAACAGGACGAGCCTATGTCCTCTCGGGTTTGAGCTCACATTCTTGGCAAAGAGCCACAACTAGAGGAGACACAACAACACAAATAATATTGCAAGGTGGTAGCTCAAGCAATAGTGGCGCCATTGGCTATGAGACTCCATCTATGATCAACATGGTCTCAAAGTCACAGAACCTAAGTCTTGCCAATCGTGTCGAACAAGTTCCTCGTCCCAACAAGACATGCAACTTAACTCCAAGATCTTAGTAAACATTTCTAACCCCATTCGTTCTCAGCGTGATAGGCAACTGAACAACAGCACTCTTCTCGTGATATAATTCTGTGGTATATTTGACCCTACTATACTTTTTTGTTTTGGCTCCATTTGTTTGTTCTTTTAGTTCTCCACAGTTGAATCATTTTCAAATTAGATTCTTTTGGATTGACATCTCTACATTTCGGAATAATATGTTAGAGCTGATAACCGTTTGTTTGCTGAGATCGTCCTCTTATTAGAGAATACTATACTGGTCCCTTTTCGATTCTGTAAGGATTTCAAAGAGGTTTAAATGATCATGGGCTACTCTAAGCATAACCTTAAGGTTTAGAATTGGATTCTCAGATTCTTTTAAAGAACACTTCAAAAATTAGAAACATAAATCCCTAAGAATGGGTAGTGTTTAATATGACGCTTCTATTAAGAAAAGATGTTTGTGCTTTGCATTTAAGCTGGCGTTCACGACATAGAGTTAGTTTGGTCAATATACTACTAGGAGTAGTTAGTAGTTACATGTCGTAGCATCAAAAGATATGATAATTAATATTAAAGGGAACGCTCACATTGAAACGTCTCAGTCTTAATGAGCTCATTTTGGCTACTTCGACGTATCAATCCTAATCAATCTTTAATGTCAGAATTTTCATTCTGTAAATATCACGAGTTATCTCAAAATTTAAAGAATAATTGGCACTAATAAGAGGAGTAAGTTTGCTAAACCTAGTTACTGAGTCACATCTTGTGTTTATCACTTCGAAGGAGCACTTGCGACAGTATTCTGATTTAAGTGCACGCACTGTTAGTAAAGTATTTCCCCATTTGTTTATTCACCAAACATGTCTTAAATAATTTAATCGGTTTTTAGTTTTTTCCAGCACAAGCCTTTAAATTTTACCTACGTTTTATTACGTGAAATAAATATAAGATCATAATTGAATACTGTATGCCGTAAAATACGCTATGCTAAGTAGCCGCTTAAAAGAATGATGCGTGGAACTTAAGGCGGGAGACAGTTAGAACCGAAGGTAATTATCCTGTTTGTCACTGGAAAGATGCAATAATACCCTCCACCCGGTGGTATTTAATAAAGAATATTCCACAGCATTTAGCCCGTTACAGAGAATTTGTCATTTATGCTCACCGTTACACCTTCATCAATGGCCCTCATAATTGACATTAAAGAAGAGCACGATCCTAGGACCTTGTTCCTAGTGAGCTTTGTTATCATTGTATAGGACACGACTTTTCTGGCAAACTGATACTATAATCTATTTAAAGCTCTATACAATTTTATCTTCTTACTTTTTGTTCTTATTATTGTTGCGCCCGGAGGCCTCGCTACCGGAATCATTATTTCAGCTATTTCGTCTTCATATCAAGGCTTAGTGTTACATATTTCCTCAATTCTTTTATTATTTCAGGATTGAATTAATTCACTTGTCTAGAAACCACGTATAAATTCAAATATACCGTTTTAAGGGTAAACAGTCTGGCGCCCACCGTGGGGCCTAGAGAACGGTGTAATTAAGTTGATCATTGCCTCTTTTACTAATGTGTTTTGATTATTTGTCTTAGAAAAATCATAAGAAATGGCAGATAAAAGTGTTAACAACATACACAATCCTGAGGTTCGAGGAGACCAGCCTCATTTCGAGGATTCAATCAGTGACACCCACAATGAGGGAACGATGCCACGCCGGTCCACGACAGGCGTTACCAGCGACATGATCGGGAGGCAACTCCCAATGATGCTGAAAAGGAGCATGTTGCTGATGTGGTAAGAGTCTTACAAGAGCAACAAGCGATCATTCTAGGCCACCTCACACGATAGGATAAGGTTATGACGGAGTTGAAGCAGGCGTTATCGGGGGCTTCCAATAACGCGAATAGACGGGATCCAGTTCTTCCCGACGCTCCTGCAAATCAAACAATGCAGAGGGTCGACAACAACACCCCGAGGGGTGAGGTTGGTTCCGATGGAGCTGTGGGGTGGGGTCGGGGGCGGGGGGGGTGGGGGGAGCGGATTCTCCCCCAATAACGAAAACAATCCCTTCAAGAATGAACTCTTCGGTTTATAAGAGAAGTGAACGCTCGCATGGACCAAATCCCTGGCGCACCACCGGTACAGAAAGGACCAGACTCAAACAAGTATACTCAGTTGTCGTACAAACCAAGCGCAACATCAGAATTAATCCTGAAGCGGTTTAAGTTGCCCAACGTGCCAAAGTATGATGGAACTTCAGACCTTCAAGAGCATATTACCATTTATACAACGGCGGTGAAGGGGAATGATTTAGCTCCTCACGAGATTGAATTTGTTTTGCTGAAGAAACTTGGAGAGACTCTCACGAAGGGGGCCTTGACCTGGTATTCACTGTTACCCGAGCATTCCATAGATTCCTTTGAGATGCTCGCAAATTCTTTTATTAAGGCTCATGCCGAGGCCAGAAAGGTGCAGGCCCGAAAGGCCGACATATTCAAAATTGCAGCAGAAGAATCCGAATAGCTGAGAGAGTTAGTTGCTCGGTTCCAAAAAGAGAGGATGTTGCTCCCTGTTGTTATGGACGAATGGATGGCTGAAGCATTCACCAAGGGACTGAATCTGAGAAGTTCTGATGCTTCCCAGAAACTGAAGGAAAGTTTGCTCGAGTTCCAAGCAACGACTTGGGCGGATGTCCACAACCGATACGAGTCAAAGATAAGGATCGAAGATGATCAGGTTGGTTTCTCGTCCTCGGCAAAGGGACGAGAGAAGAACAAAGAAAAATCAAAAGACGATTTTGACATGGACAGACGGTCTTCGAGGGGCCGATTTTTTCCCTACGAACAGCCCGGTCAGCAGACAGGTTCGCTACTGACAGAAGGATTGATCGTGGTCGGAACAATATATCTTTGCAGGAAAAAGAAGCGTTAGGTACGTGGGATCCTTCCTACCCAGACTATCAGAATACAATTTTAATTTCAGTGTAGTAGAGTTGGTATCAGCTATGAGAAACATCAAAGAAGCATGGTTTCCGAAGTCGATGCTATCCCAACCAGAGGGATCCTAACTTGTGGAGTGAATACCATTGGATGAATGGCCACCGAACTAGGACTAACGACATCTCTGGGAAGAAGTGGCGACAATTGAAGAATGGGCATCTCAGAGAATTTTTAAGTGACCGGGCCAAGAACAACTACAGCCGCAACCGGGATAACGCAGAACCCTCGAAAGTAGGGGAAGACCCCCCGCGCTAGACGATCAACATGATCTTCGGGGGGAACGAGATCAACCGGGTCACCTTCTCAGTAGCAAAAAAGACGAAAGTATCAATAACCCATAGCAAGTGACTCCGAAAAGTTGCCGAAGACGATATCACTTTCACGGAAGAGGACGCAGACGGATTGCTGCTACCGCATAATGATGCACTAGTAATTTACTTAAATGTACTAGACTTTAAAATCAAACATGTTCTAGTGGATCCAGGGAGTTCGGCCAAAATCATACAATGGAGAGTATTGGAGCAAGCTAAACTCACCGGAAGCATCATCCCGGCCATAAAATTCCTCGCCGGATTCAACCTCGCGAGCGTGACAGGGAGAGATTTTGTTGCCCATGAAAGCTGAAGGAGTGATGAAAACGACTTTTTTGAAGTGGTAGATGGTGATATGGGTTATAATATTATTTTGGGAAGACCATGGTTACACGAGATGAGAGGTGTACCATCAACATATCAGCAGCTGCTGAAATTTCCAATGCCCGAAGGAATTAAACAGATAAGGGGCGACCAACCGGCGGTAAGGGAGATGAATGCGATTTTGGTCTCCAGTAGCAAAGGGAAGGAGCACACATCATAGCAACTACAGGAACCGGCGCCCGCTCCCGAATCGAATGAAGTTAGCCCAGGGGTAGAAGCGTTGGGTGCCAAGGTACTTCCAAGTACCAGAAAAGACGGATGCAACAAAATCCATAGCGGAAAAGCTCGAGCAAGTTGCATAGTTCGAAGAGTTCTTAAAAAGGAAATTCCACTTGGGAACAAAACTGCACCCCGAGCTCAGGTCTGACTTTATTAAGTTTCTTAAATATAATGCTGATTATTTTACGTGGTCGCATGCAGACATGACAGGTATCCCGACGGAGGTAGCCATACACAAGATACTTTTGGATCCCAAAATCCCTCCGGTAAGACAAAAGAAACGCCCTATTGCAAAGGCCAGGAATAAATTCGTCAAAGAAGAGGTAACTCGCTTACTTGATATCGGATCGATCCGAGAGGTAAAGTATCCAGACTGGCTAGCTAATGTAGTCATAGTTCCTAAGAAGAACAATAAATTTCACATGTGTGTAGATTAAAAGGACTTGAATAAGGCATGCCAAAAGACTCGTTCCCACTACCAAACATCGATCAAATGATTGATGCGAAGGCCGAGCACGAGTTAATGAGTTTCCTCGATGCTTATTCTGGGTACAAAGAAATTAAGATGAACCCCGAGGATTAGGAAAATACTTCGTTCATAACAAATTTTAGCACATATTGTTATCGTCACACCTCCTTTTTACTACCCCGAAAAGGGATATAAGGGAGTTTTTCCAATTTAACTGACAATCGAAACGAGATTATTATTTAAGATCAGAGTCGCCACTTGGGATAGTTTATGGTGTTCCAAGTCACCGATTTAGAATCCCGAATCGAGGAGATTTGACTCTGTTTTACGGTCTGCGAACACAGAAATCCGGGTAAGGAATTCTGTTAATCCGGGAGAAGGTGTTAGGCATTCCCGGGTTCCGTGGCTCTAGCACGGTCGCTTTGATCATACTTGGCTTAATCAAATTTTCTAGTTACTTATTTTAGAACCTATGTGCATTTGACCCTTTTTAATTAAGAAATTATCTTAAAACAGGTCACGCGTACGTGTACCCATTTGTTTGGCGCGTCAGAAATCATGTCACGCGAACGTGTCCACAATTAATAACGCTTTATTATTATTAAGAAAGTTTGGTCGAAGTTGCGCGAACGCATACTCCGATGTTGTTTTTAGAATCGTAATTATGTCACGCGAACGTGTCCACAATCACAACGATATATTAAACGCGCCTAAAGCAACTACGAACATTCCCTTTTTTAGTATCTAAGTTACAAAATTAATGTGAGGGCCATAGGTGATTCAATTATGGATAGCACACCTCAATCTACTTTTAAAGAATTATACTTAATTAAAGCGGTCTAAGGATATTCGGGTTT